AGCAAATTATACGCAACGTCACGAGTGTATGGATGCAAGTTTGGGCCGAGTCGGGTGTGTAGAGGAAATGTTGTGGAGGAATAAGGGAGTTGTGGGTTGTTTTGATTTAAATTATTATCCTTAAACCTTATGGCCCAATCAGGGCCCTACTCTTCTATTTCTGCCCAATCCCGTGAGACACACACACACCTACACGTGCTCCTTCTTCCCTAACTCTCTTTTTCTCGAACTCTCTCTTTCCGTACAACCTGATCTCATAGCTCTCAAAACCCTTCAAAACGTCATAGATCGAGTGTAAGGATAACACTATTGTGCTTCCCTCGACCTTACGAATCGAGCCGTACCCTTGGTTTGAAGGGAAGACTGGTAGAACTCGAGATACCCGAGCTCCGGCAAGGAGTGTAATTTTCTCCGACGTGATCGTCGAGGTTTTACTTGCTATTGAGACTTGGAAAGGTATTATTACAACTCCTCTAATGTTTTAGACTATTTTTTGTTAAGTTTGGACGTCGAAATAAGCTTGGTACGTATTATGAAAGAAAAATTGTGTTCTTTTTATTCTTGTAAAAATACATGACTTCAATTCTTTTGTGCTTTGGCGAGAGAAGAGAAGGAAAGTAGATTGCTCTATGCAAATAATAGATTTATCAATGCTTATGAAAGTGGATTGCTCTTTGCTTTTTTTTTTTTTTTTTTTTCCTACTACGACCGAGAGAAATGCCAGTAGAGATGAGCATACAAAATTTAACGTATGCTGGAAGACTGCACAAATTCAAACCAAGAACAAATCCAAATATCCACATATCACTATATTAATAATTCCAAAAGCATTTCCACAAATCCATCATGCTTGACTTGAAATAGAGATATTTGAAAATAAATATAATTTGCAACACATTACATAAACCACTCACCTTTGATAATTCGAGCTTTAACAAGATAACCCAACTAAAAATCTCCAGAACTTAAGCTTACATGCATACTGACTAACTCCTTTGCATGATAACAAAGGAGCGCATTTGCTCTCCTACTTATAAAACTCGGGCCCCTCTGTGCGTGCAGAAGAATGAAAGAGTTTGAGGGAAAGAGAGATGTAAAATAGAAAGACGAAGTGAGATGGCAGAAAATATAAAAAGAAGGGGGAGAGTTGAGTGGAAGTCAGTGGGAAGGGAGAGAAAGGAAGAATATTATATTGGTTGAGTGGATAGGTAGAGAGTGTGCGGGAGATGGATTGTTTGCCCTTCCCTTCTCATATTCTTCTTATGCTTTTTTGTTTTATGAGGTCATGGTTAAATCACGTTAATATTTTATATTAATTTTTTTATAAAAATAATAAGACAAAAAATAAATATTTACGTGACTTAACCGTGATCGCATAAAAATGAAGAGGATACGAGAAGAGGATGACAGACAATCCATCTCCGCGTGTGTGTGGTTCGGCTGAAAATGGGGAAAAGAGAGTTAGGGAGGTGTGAAAAAGTATTAAAATAATAGAAGGTAATGATGTGCTGTTGAAAACATAAAAAGGTTATGATGATGCTGGTAGAAAGAAGAAAGAAGGCTGGCTGATGGAAGTGGGGAAGGATCCCATTTTCTCATCTTAAAACTTCACAGAAACCTAACCAAATACGGGTTCTCACAAGTCTAATCATTGAAAATGAATGGAAAAAAACAACAAATGGGAACCGCTTGTAAAACTGTGTGAATGACCACTTCATTTAACTAAGGATAAAAGAATAGAAGTCAATATTGTAGGCTTAAATAGTATAAGTATACGAAAAATGAACGAAGGTTAACCAAAGTTTTGTGAACCTCTCTCATTTTTAGATGTGCATCTTGATAATGGGATTTTATTTCTCTCACTTTACGAAAATTGAGAATAACTATGGTTGTAATGGAAATATGCTTTCAATTAGTGTGCTTGTGAAGTATGAATTCCAACTATTTTTTCTCCTATGTTAGTATGAGGCCCTTTCACAAGGGAGTGTGATATCCACACACCATTTTTTACTTCTCACACACTCTTCTAATTTTCAACTGTCGGATTGGATGAATTGAAAAAGATCAACGGACAAAATTAACAAAGAGTGTGTGAAAAGTAAAAAGGGATGTGTGGATAACACACCCCTTTCACAAGTGGTTCGCCATTGTGCAGGGCTTAATTTGCCATTAGTATGATAATGATTCAAGTGAAGTGTTACGTGTTTTAATTTTTAATTTATATTAAAAGAATAAACAAAAAATACCTAATAACTATTTCTAAATAGGAAAAATAAACAATTAAATTATAAACGTATCTCCTTAAGAATTCCATGAAAATGATAAAGGACATTCCTAATCCTCCCTACAGAAAACGAATATGATCCACAATTTTTTTTATTTTCTAATTATGATCTAATTAATCGAAGAGAAGTTGTATTCTTGACGGATAAAGAATCCCCGATGATTAATTTACGATTATGAATATGATAATTTTCGTAATTATAGAAATGAATATAACATTTCTATCCCTAAACTGAACCATTACCATCCCTAACTGTTTTGAAGCTGATATTGAAGCAACAAAATAACAAAAAAAAATAATAATTCCAAGAGTTGGCAAGGCAGTATGGATGAACTACGATGCTTCAACATAATTTATTTTTTAGACGAAATTATAGCAATTTATTAGAAATTAAGGATTGCAATCATTAAATTAGCGATGCTAAACAAAAATTATTTAGAATATAGAAAGAAATTACTAGGATATTGAAATATTTCCAGAAAACTAGCACAATCCGGGTACATATTTAAAAGGTACAAACATTTGAATGACATAAGTAATTAAATCAATATTTGATACACAAAAATTACATTATAAGACTTTCTTGATGAAGAAATTCTTATAAAAAGAAACCCAAGTCCACCTCATTCAGAGAATTCTTCAAAACTAAAGACATATATAAGAGATTGCTAAACATTTCAAGATTTATCTCCAAATCTTCCTCCTGATATGAGAAAAACAATGATTCCGGAGAATCATGATTCTGGAGAGGGGACTATGTGACGGGTGGAAGAAAGGGAGCGGCGTACGACTATTTATAGTTGGTTTGTCTTCCTGAAACCCTAGTGTGCCGTGACAGTATTTGTGGGCTGCTGAGGTCTATCTTAGAAGCCCATATATTGGGCTTTACCTAAGCTTTTACAAAGCTCTATTTGTTGATCATGTTGGGCTTACCCACTCAATCGGGATGTCCTATCATATAATTTGACAATTTTTATCCTTTCTTTTTGCAAATCAAACCTGAAAAATGAGTTGAGTGTTTACTAATTATTATCATAACTTAGTAATACGGTCTAGTGGTATTTTTCTTCACTTCTAAATGAGAGACTTTAAGTTTGATTCTAGTCAATGGTGAATTTGAATCAGATTATTACGAGATCATTGTAAGACTTAACTCACTCTCAAACCCTCATAGTGCAAATTATATCATTTATTCAATAAAATTAATTACTACCCACCTCTTAAGAGGTTGGGGTGTGCTTTACTTATCCAAGGTCTTAGAGCATGTTTAACGGGAATCAATAGAGGTGGTAATGAATTTCTCATTATGACTTATTTTTAGTACAAGTTAATCACTTTAATGTCTTGCTTAATTATAAACTCACGCTGTAAGGTTCAGTTCGATTTTTTTTTTTTCAATGCACCAATTTTGTTATTTTGTTTTTCGGCAATGCACCTTTTTTATTTTAGTACTAGTTTGAGATAATGTTATTACTTAAATCCTGCACGAGATCAAGATTGAGATAATCTCATTTTAAGTAGTAGTACTGTACTAATTTTGCTTTATAAATACAATTGGATTCCCATGAAGATGTTATGCTAAAACGTAGCTAGCCGCACTATGAAAATAGAACTCATATCTTGAATACGAGGGTAAGTACTCTACCATTGGTGGAAATTTAGAAGTTATGGTCCTTGTGCGTTTTGAAAGTGGATTCTTGAAATTCTTGAACATGACCAATTTTACTGTCAATTTGCATTCACGAAGAAAAATCAGTACTAATGACCTGTGTCGAAATATAAAATTATTCATCGATTTACACTAAATTTCCTTATCATGTTATTTTGTGACACTGGTCTTACATTTTTTTCATTTCTAGTTTAGCGGTTGAGATTGTTACATCTAACTTTTTAATCCACATTACCAACACCGTTTGTTTTTTAAATCAAAAGTACAAGGAGAAAAATCTAGTTTTCAAAAGGATGTGAGATTATTTGAGAATAGCAGTATTTTGTAGATGCCCTGTCCATATCAGTAGTTGAGTGCCTTGATACTCTAATGTGTTCTATTGGTCCCAATCTAATTCTTCTACTCTTTCTCACTTGAATATCATGATATTTTTAGAGTCTAGATGTTTATTCCTTAAATTCAAGTCTATGGTTTCAACTCAACCAAGTCATGATTGATTTCGTGGTGGTTTGTGATTCCTCCTTATGCTCTTCCTCAACGAGAATTCTAGGGTATGTACATTGACGATGACGTACTTTCATGAATTTAACGATAAAGTGAGTGTTCAAAAATTTAACATAATTTAATTGCTGAATGCGGTCCCCTCAAACCTTCATGCTTATGGCACCACTCAAAGATGGATGGGGCAAAATTAGGTAACCTTCCAAGCCTTTATTTCTAAGGAGCTTGCCCCAAAAGTCAGCCTCTAGACCTTAATGGAACCAATTTGGACTGATTTCTTAGATTTCTCGTTTACACTTTATTTTTTCGTATTTTTAGTGGACCTAACAAAAGAGTAAATGATGAAGATTCCTGACCAAAGGCAAATAATCATATAAATGGGGACAATTCTTTTTTTCACAAGCATTTGTACTTATTGTGCCATAATATAAAGAAGTAAAAACAAATGAGTTCGAGAGTATTTAGTTTATGTTTTTTTCAAGAATAATAACAATGTAGTAATTTTTTTTATTAGACAACTGTCGTTCATAAGATTTGAACTAAACATTATCGGATAAAACGGAGAATTTATTCCATTAGATCAAATCAGTTAGTATCATATTTTTATGCATGATCTCTCCTTTTGTGTATATAATATGATACAAAAGCAAAAGAAGAAATTGTGGGGTTTTCACACTAATTTTGGAAAGGGGGAAACAATTAATGGTTTCAATTAGGAATTATAGAATTCTTTTCCTTTCCATACCTTGACAACACTAATCGCCCTGTTGAACTTGATCTCTTCAGTACCAGAGGACCCTTTACCAAGCTGAAAACTCCACTACTTCTAGGGTTGTTACTGGATTTGGAATTCTGTTCTTGATCAACTCCTTTTGATGATCCAATTTCCATGGAAAATTGAAGATTTTCGCTATAAAATTGGGCACTTCCCATCTGATTTTCCAAGTCCTCGTCATCATCTTCACTATCATGCAAATGCAACACATCAGCAATGGAAACTGATCTCCTCAATTGCTGCTGGATCCCATGATCTTGTCCAATCTCACAACTGCTCACTCTACTCTCCAACTGACCAACAACCTCGTCCGAATTATCTTGAACCACCAAAATACTTACATTACTCCTGTGTTGGTATTCCGAAGCAGACGCGTTCACCTCCTCCTGTTGATTTCCATCGACCGGAGGCACCGCTTGTTGTTGATGAGGCACCAAAGCAATGGCAGGAGCAGCAATGTTCGACCGGCACAGCGGACAACTAGAATGAGATTTGAGCCAAGTATCAATGCAAGGAACATGGAAAGCATGGTTACATTTTGGCAACAGCCTCAGGCTCTCATTTTCTTCAAACTCACTTAAGCAAACCGAGCAATCGGTGCCTTCCACAAGCATATCACCTTTCTTGTACTTGTGAACCGTGATGGACTTGATCAGGGACTCATCCAGACCGTTATTTGAGCCTGGCATCGATTCACTAACTAGGTTTGGATTCGAGCTGTCCATTTCCATGTCTCGAGCGCCATCACTGCCTCTTCGCCGGCAGTATCTGGTTATGATGGTGTAGTAAGTGACTAGAATGAAGGCACTAGCAAAGATGCCAATGATTGCTATAATGAGAGGAGAGAGATCTGTTGGAGAGTCTTGTTGGTTTTGATCATCGGTTTCGGCCAAATCAAATGCAGGTGGAGGACCAACGATATAGCACCACTGAGGGCAGTAGATGCTGCAAATCCCTTGGGAACAATCTTTGTATGTGTCATATGTTGCCCATGGATTTTGGTTTCCTGCAGAGCCCATATGACCAAAAAAAACTCAATAACCCTAGCTCCTGCCAGATCTTGCAAGTCTTTTTCTTTTCTTAATTTGGTCACTCCCCTTTTACTTTGCTTGATTTATGCTAATGTTAGAGAGAGAGAGAGAGAGAGAGAGAGAGAGAGAGAGAGAGAGAGAAAGGGAAGCAAAGTAGTAGAGGAGAAGGGAGGTGGATTATTGATGTGTGACTCCCTTGTATTCCACAACTTTTTCTTTAATTTGTTTTCTTTTTCTTTGGAATTATTTGTGGGAGGTGATGCTTTGTTATCTTGTATATTTGGAAGTAGATGATTGGTAGTTGAGTTTCTATCAAGTGATTAACCTAAAAGCTTAAGAAAGCATCAAATCCAAGTCTCTGTAGTCGGTGAATATAGGTGGGAGTGTACTCTTTGCGTTTTAAAAATATGCAAAGCAACACCACACTTCAAACTAACTCAACCCTCGGCCTTCTTGCCTCCTTTGAAAAAAAGGACTCAAGATTCTTACATAAATTAATATGATTTTTTTCCTTTTAAAATGGGGACAATTAATGGCAAGCCAGGGTTATCCATCTTTTTCGGAGGCTGGAAAGATTCACAAAGACATTTCAGCCTCCTCTTGACCACAATCAAGCAGACGCACTAGCTTGAAGCCTCGAATGCGGGACCTCCCTATTTCTTGTATTTTGAGAGCCGGAATATGTGCCATTGGCACTGGGCTACTTGCTTTTCAAGACCTTAATCTAATCCATTTTATATGATTGTCACTTAGTACTACGGTCTAATGATGTTTCTCTTCACTTGTAAGTCTTAGATTCTATTCTCATCAAAGACGAATTTAAACCACATTATTGCTAATCCATTATGAGGCTTAGTCCATTCTCCTACTCCCTTAGTGTAGATAAATTGTCTGTTAAAAAAAATCATTTTGTATTATTCATTTGTAAGAAAATAATCAATATTTTATGTTTAGTTACTATGACAACTTAGTTAAAGTCGCCAATTACATTAGGGAAATTTTATTTTAACCCATCTAACCTATTTCTACACCCAACTTACTATTTGCACCCATTTGATTTTTCACTAAACTATTAATATCTCTTTAAACCCAAATTTAATTCCTAATATACCCCATAAACCTAATTCAATTATAACAGCACCAATCAAAATCGAATTATACATATATGTGTTGCTTTTCTTGTATTTGATCAAAAAACACCACCACCAAATCAAAATAAAATTAAAATAATACTACATAAGGGTTAACGCCGAACACAGAAGCATATCCGTCTAAAAGAAAACTCTAATCTACATGCCATTAAGCTTCTGAAACTATTCAAATTGCTTAAGTTCAACCCTGAGGTTTTATTCCGGCTATGTCTTCGAGAGTCAGATTCAACGTATCAGCAGAACCTTTCTTCACCTCTTCCCCAAAGGCAGCCAGAAATTGCTCAACGTTGGATGGTTTTCCAAAATACCCGAGATGATCAGCAATCAGGTGGAGATTGTTACACCCACCACAGCAAGCTACCACCACACCTTTCTCGTATGATTCTCTACTGCACGTCTTCATGGATCTTGTTTCACAGACAGTGCAGGTAAAAAGCATGGCCAGGTCATGCCTTGGGGATATTTTCTGCTCGAAAGAAGCAGAAGATTTGGTATCGGAACTGTTGATAGCGTTCGCATCATTATTCGGTTTCGAACTGCCATCTTCAAGATTTGCCAAATCCTCATTAACCAGATTAGTTGGATTTGTTTGTGCCTGAAGATCTATTTTGTCAAATCCATATCTTTTGAGTATAGAACTTGTAGAAGGAACAAATTGATTTGCCGCCAACAATTTGTATGAACAAAAACAAGAAAAGTTAAACGGAATAGTATACAGTTTAAGCATGAAAATATTTATCTTTAAAAGAAATCCATGGAGAACGTATAAATGACGGACTGAACCAACAAGTTCTTCAGCATAAAGAGAGAAACAAACGGAGGACTTCGATGGAAATAGATCAACAAATTCAACTTAGTATACAAAAACAAGAATAGTTTTCTGTGTCTAAATTGATGGATAGCATTATCAGATACTATGGGTGTCCATTTTTGTGTTTTGTGCGAACAAACAAGTAACGCGGATATGTCCGTACACCATCAATAAAAGAGTAAACAATAGCCATCTACTTATGAAAAATTTCTGAGTTTCCTATATATTTTCCACCATCACATTTCTTTTTCTTTTCTTGATTAGCAATCTTCCGCAAAAGAAATGAAATGAACGTAGGGTTTAATTATAGTGTTTGGGTTTATTGATAAATTTGAGATTTATTATTAATTTCATTTTGTACTTAATAGTAATTATGCAATAGGGTAAAATAGACAATTAACATTCAAAATTTTAAGTTGGATGTAAAAAGAGGTTGCATAGGTTTAAATAAAATTTCCCTTACTTTATTATATTGTTGATTCTGTGATTTTCTTTTGTCGATAGTTAATTATAACATTATCTATTAACTATAGTCTGGTGAAGTCGACAATAATTTTAATTTAGTGGTGCTTCCTTCGTAATGTTGAAAAATATTCATATGGATAATGCTGGGGGACACAAGGATTTTTCATCTAAAATTAGTATGTTTCATCCCAATTGATTAAAGAAAAGGGTAATGCTAGGAAGATTATATATTTTGTTGATGCACAAAACCGGAGGGGTCTTGGAAAAACGTAAATCCGACCATGAATCTGCAAGAAAGTAAATAACACAAGATGTATTGTGGTTCACCCCAATGTTTGGGCTACGTCCACACATATATTATATTTCTCTGAGAGGATTGTGAGGGTGAGGGTGAGAGCTTCTGAGGGTGAGAGAGTTCTTCCCATGGCCTAAGAATTGGCCTCCCTTAATGAGGAGAGTGAGGGATCCTTTTATAGAATAAGGGCTCCTTACTTATTACATATTTGCCCCTCCATTTATTGCATAATGACATTTGAGTCCCCCGAGTATTTATACGAGGTCTAAATATAGAGGCCCTAAGTATGGTACAAACAGTAGTCCCCCAAGTCTTCAGTCAAGAGAGTCTTTTGGCTGGATACTTGAAATTTAGTCCATGTGTGGGCCGAAGTAACTAGATGTTGTCTTGAACTGATGCTCGATATGAGGCGGTGCTTAATCTGAAATGATGCTCAACTAGAAGTAGCACATGTTGCGAGACTGCTCGGTTTGTGGCTTTTGTTACTTTGGTTTGCTCGGCTTGTGGCGTTGAAGGTGAGGGAGTCCCTTTCATAGAATAAGAGCTCGCTCCTCAATACATAAGTGATGGGCTAAGAGTTGATGCTCGCGGCGAGGCTGTTGCTCAACTGGCGGCGATGCTCTCTAATGATGGTGAGGGGGTCCCTTTTATAGAATAAGGGCTCGCTTCTCAATACATAAATGATGGGCTAGAGTTGATGCTCGCGGCGAGGCGGTTGCTCAGCTGGCGGCGATGCTCTCTAATGATGGTAAGAGAGTCCCTTTTATAGAATAAGGGCTCGCTCCTCAGTACATGAATAATGGGTTAGAAGTGATGCTCGCGGCGATGCGGTTGCTCAGCTGGCAGCGATGTTTTCTAATGAAGGTGAGGGAATCCCTTTTATAAAATAAGGGCTCGCTTCTCAGTACATAAATAATGGGTGTTCTCTAATGAAAGTGAGGGAGTCATTTTTATAGAATAAGGGCTCGCTCCTCAGTACATAAATAATGGGTTAAGTCTCCCAAGTATTTTACATGAGGCCCAGTTGAGGCCCAATATATGGTACATAATATAGTCCCCCAAGTCTTCGGTTAATAGAGTTTGTTGGTTGGAGACTTCAAATTGAATCCATGTATGGGCCGAAATGACGGTTGTTCGGAGGCAGTATTTGCATACCCTGCATTGAAGCTTTGTAGGTGAAGCTTTGCAAGTGAAGCTTTTGAAGCTGGAGTTTTATAAATGAAGCTTTTGAAGCTGGAGCTCTGTAAATGAAGTTTTTGAAGCTGATTGACATGAGTGATGGTCATGAATGTTGACATGAGTGATGGTCATGAATGTTGACATGAATGATGGTCATGAATGTTTATGTATGATTGACATGAGTGATGCTCATGAATGTTTATGTATGATTGACATGAGTGATGCTCATGTATAATTTTGGAATACTGGACGTACTTTTGATCACCTGGTTGGTGATAATAGCGGCAAGCTGCCGAATAATTTTGGAGTACTGGGCCTTTTGATCACCTGGTTGGTGATAATAGCGGCATGCTGCCGAATAATTTTGGAGTATTGGGCATACTTTTGATCACCTGGTTGGTGGTAATAACTGCAGGCTGCCGAATAATTTTTTGTAGTACTGGACGTACTTTTGATCACCTGGTTGGTGATAATGGAGGGCATGGCTCTTTTGGGCATATGAGCCTTCGCCTTCCACATAACATTCCAGCCCTTTTTTTTTGGGCTTGCTGTTTTTTTTTTATAATTATTATTACCCTCTCGATGGAGTTTATACAGATGTCTCCGAAAGATAAGAAAAATAAATTACATCATTCAAAAATAAATAAAGCAGTCGTTAGGGACCAGACGTGCTATCCATCGTGCTGTCATCTCTCTGTGGACCCCTTTCCAGCAAGACCGATTCCATTGCCTAAAATTTCAGAAACCCCACTTTACTCCATTGTTGGTCTCTCTGTTTCCACCAATGTGGCTAAAAATCCTCATCTTTTTTTTTTTTTATTCCTTATCCTCCTCCTTTTTCTTTTTCTATTCTTTTCCTCCTTCTTTTTCTTTTTCTTTAACATCATAGTGTCGTCTGTGAAGAGTGGGAACATGCACTCCTTCATGATGAGAGTCTTTATCTTTTTCAGAAGTTGATGCCTTTTTGAATGGCTCTAGCTATCACGTTCGAGAGCATCTTCTGTAGCAGCATCAAGCATCTCAATCATTGAGGGGTGAACAAATGTAGTAACCAAAGGTATGCCTTTTGGAAATTCCACAAAGATTGGTCGTTCTAAATCCTCAGTTTCCTCAGGAAAAGGGGCTTCTGTTTTGGGCGAAAACTCATTAGAAGTGGAGAGAAAGAGACAAAAAGCAAGACCCATCAGAAGGATTGCAACTCTAAACTTCACCATCAAATGCTTGTGCTTGTGATTAAACCAGTCCATTCAATTCAGCTTCATTGCCTTCACTGCGTGCTTCTTGCTTTCTTTCTCTCTAGATCTTTGAATGTAGTGGATGTTGAGCTAGAATTTTCTTGGAAAATTCAGGCCGGATTTTCCCAGAAAGTTGTTGTAAAAGCTAGAGCAAGAGCTGCACTGCAGTACCTTCGGATGAGGTGGCCAGGGCGGGGAGCTTGGAGATAAGGCAAGGGGACGCAATGGCAGTGTGGAACGGTTGAAGAGAGCTCAATTCTCGCTGCAACAGCCTTGAGGAAGGGGAGCGACGGGCCATGAAATTGGACGGAATCGAAGGGCATGGCGCTGCTAAAATTCTTGTTCTTGCTGTTAACATCGCTGCTCGAAAAAACGCACGCAGAATTGTCGATCTTCCAGCAATCGAAGCTGACATTTTTTTTATCTTTGTTCGTCTGTGTATTTCGATTCCAAACCCTAAAACCTCTGTTTCTCTCTAGCTCCATCACCTTCTCCTACTGCAGGCCCCGAAGCCATCACCGTGACAGTATAGATTTGATGGATGGCTGAGATCAGTTGGAGGTCAATGGCCAATTGGTTGTGTTATCTGTCTCTGTGATTTGCTTGTGGAATTGGAGGCTATTGGTCAGCAGATTCAAGAGAGATGCACCTGAGTTTCTCTTTCTCTCTGTAGATTGAATGGGTGTGTCTCTGAGTGTGGGTGTTGGGTTCCTGCAAATTCACGGCAGAGGTGAAAAAATGAAAGATAACTGACACAACTTTTCGTATTGCTTCACACAGCGACAAATGTTGATGCACAAAACCGAAAGGGTCTTGGAACAACGTAAATCCGACTGTGAATCTGCAAGAAAGTAAATAACACACGATGTATCGTGGTTCACCCCAATGTTTGGGCTACGTCCACACTGATATTTTATTTCTCTGAGAGGATTGTGAGGGAGAGGGTGAGAGAGCTTTTCCCATGGCCTAAGAATTGGCCTCCCTTAATGAGGAGAGTGAAAGGTCTTTTTATAGAATAAGGGCTCCTCACTTATTACATATTTGCCCCTCCATTTATTGCATAATGACATTTGAGTCACCCGAGTATTTATACGAGGTCTAAATACGGAGGCCCTAAGTATGGTACAAACATATTTAAATCATATTTTGTAACTCATATGACGTGATTATTGATGATCGGATTATTACTTAAGTATTGATTAGCATGCTTATTTTCTATTGGTGACACATCACATGATTTGCAAATTTGGTTTAAAAAATTAGTCTACCTAGCATTATCCTAAAGCAAATGATAAACACACGTACTTTTTCTCCATAAACACACCCCTATTTTTTTTTTTTTTTTTTTTGTTTTTTGGAAAACAACACACCCCTATTTAATCTTACTAGTTGTTTTCGTTTGAGATATTAAAGTCAATGACTAATTTTTTTTTAATTATTATTATTAAGGGGAGGGGAAAGACTTCAAAAATATTACATTAACTTAGGTGAGAGAGAGTTTCGAACCCAAGAAGCATAAGTAGAAATCCAGCATATCCACTAGAATAGCGGATTCGATAACCAAAAATAAAAAAGAGTGAGAAGCTAAAATAAGTGTCACAATCACCCATTAATTAATTAGATAAATTTGATTTTATTGACAAATATTATGTCAAAGAAATAAGAGATTTATGATAGCCATTTAATTTTCTACCATTAATCTCCACTTGTTAGGTCATCTTCAGTGGTTGGGATACCCCCCCCCAACAAAAAAAAAACCATCTCCAATGATTGAGCTTTAATAAGTAATGGGGAGACATTTAATTTTCTACCATTAATCTCCACTTGTTAGGTCATCTTCAGTGGTTGGTATACCCCCCCCCCCCCAAAACAATAAAAAACCATCTCCAATGATTGAGCTTTAAATAAGTAATGGGGAGAAAATAACATTTTGGGCTAGATTTCCTCCCCATTTTAAGCTAGGGATAAGAAACTGGGTCAACCATGCACGTTCACGCGCTACACAAAACATCACACACGAGGAGTTGACGCGCCTCACTGCCCCTCGTGACAAAGCTGCTAGCGGTGGAACCCATTGGCTACAACATTGTCAGCCACTTGTTTTGAGCCCAACAACTCTTTTCTTGATCCAACGACTAGCGTGACTAGACCGTTGGTTAATCCAACGGTCCAAATTCAATTTTTTTTTAAATTTATAATTACATTAATCGAATGGTTGTGGTCGAATATAAGCAAATCTAACTATATAAAAAAGAGAGGATTTGACGGTACAAATTCATGTAGTATTTTAATTGTCGTTTGTATTATTGTTTTAAGATCGAATTATGAACTTTTGTTTAAGAATGAGGTAGGTTGTGCAATTTTTCATTATTTATCAGAATTTAAATATTTTTAGATCAAAATATTCATAAAAATAAATTAGGATAATCCACATAAGTTTTATTTTTCAAAGAGTTAAAAAAAAAGCTAAAATCAATTTTTAATAATCTCGGGCTAAAATTTTAAACCATAACCATTGGAGAATAAAAATTATTCCTGGATTATTGCTTAAAATTTTTTGGTTTAAAATTTTAAGCTTCATCTCCAACTATTGTAGACGGTCTTAGAAGACTTTGTTTGACAATGGTGTCGTTGTGAAATAGAACAAAGGAGAACTATTCTAGGGAATGTGATTGTAATGGGATAATTTAGGTGTTACCGTATCATGATTACATGAGTTACTAATTAACTCATATTATAATATTTGTATATAAATTAATTTTTCTTCAAGTAAATATGTGTTGTTGTCTCATTTAATACGTGAACTAATACTATTACGTGCATAATAATATTACAATATAACAATAATTTCTCAATGCAAAGACTTTCATATCCTTGCTTAATCCTATATAAGTGTCGTTGAACAAACCTATGAGGCTTTAAAGATTCCCGAATTTGAACGAAGTTGTCTCCCTAAAATGAAAATAAACATTGTTTGAGTTAGGTTTTTTAGTGAAAATTATCTTTGAGACTGACATAACTTCTTATTTTAGTCCATACCAATGAAAATTAATAGTCCCTGAATTTGTCCACCGTAAATCATTTTGGTTATTCCATGAAAAATTTGTCAATATCCTCGTTAAATTGTCACGTGAACGACCACGTGATCACCTTTTAAAAGTATTTTTGTCAAATAAATCTCTCTACTTGATGAAGATAATGACATTTTTTTTTCTTCAGAATAACCATTATTTATGGTGGACAAACTTAAGAGCGACTTCAAAAAACTATTGATTTTCATTGGTCAATAAAGTGAGGAATTATATCAATATCAGAGATCGTTTTAATTGAATACATTAATCGAATGATTGTGATCGAATATAAGCAAATCTAACCGTTAAAAAAAAAAAAAGATGATTAACGGTAAAAATTTATTTAATGTTTTAATTGTCGTTTGTATTATTGTTTTAAGATTGAATTATGAACTTTTGTTTAAGAATGGAATAGGTTGTTGTAAATTAATTTCGGAATTTAAAATATATAAATTAGAATAATCCACATAATTTTTTAAAATATTTTAAAAGACTAACATTACCTAAAAAAAATAAATTTTATTTTTGTTTAAAAAAATCTCTAAAATCAGGTTTAAAATTTTAAGCTATAACCATTGAAGGATAAAACTTGTTTCTGGGTTATTGCTTAAAATTTAAGTTTCATCCCAAACCAGTGGAGACGGTTGTGAACACGGAAAATTCCTGAAACGAAAGAGACAAGAACAACGTGCACAAACAAATATTTGTGTTTGATTTGATGATTTTGGGTTACAATCTCTCTCTATTTTGATCCTCTGATTCGATCTCCGTAAGGTGTTGATTTATGGATGTGCGATTGATCCAAGGGCCGTCGAGGCTTGATCTTGGAGATGACGAGGATGAAACGGATCTTCAAGGGCTTTTGGGCTTGATCTTGAAGAATGGTGATTTGACGGATCTTTAAGGGCTTTTGGGCTTTGATCTTGAAGAACAGTGATGAACGGATCTCTTCGAGAGCTTTTGGGCTTGAACGGATTTCGAGGGCTTTTGGGCTTGATCTCGAAGAACAGTGATGATGAACGATGAACGCTTTCTTCAAGGGCCGTCGAGGCTTGGGCTTGGGCTTGATGAACGGATGAGCGGATTCGTTGATGTTGTCGATCCAAAGGCGGAGGGTTCGACCAGGGGCTGGGGCTTGATCCTTGAGGATGAACAGTTGAATGATGAACGATGAACGATGAACGAACGCTTTCTTCAAGGGGCCGTTGAGGCTTGGGCTTGAAGGTGGATGATTGTTGATCCAAAGGGCCGTCGGGGCTTGATCTTAGGATGAACGAAGAACGAAGAACGAAGAGAGCTTTCTTGATTCTTCGGGAACCTGGATGCTTGAGAGCTTCGGAGTTTCAGAGCTTCAGAGCTTGCTTAATGATTTTGGTTCTCCCAAATGAATGAAATGGGCTTGTATTTATAGAATTTTCCAAGACCTAATTTTGAATATAATATCCCAGATGAAATAAGTCGTTTCTGCCAGGTGTTGACACGTGTCTTATTTGATGACTTTTCCAACTCATTTCAATTTTTCGTGAGAGTCACATGCTACGTGTAAAATTTATGCAATACATGAGCGTTGACACTTTGATTTATCGGTCAACATTTATTTACCGAAATTTCGATGTCTACAAATGCCCCCACTTCAAAGCACGTCGTATACATGTGATTGTCACGTGTAGGAGATGCGTTTTGAAGTCCCTTACTGTAGATGTCGATCCAAGGGCCGTCGAGGCTTGATCTTGAATTGGGCTGGAGATTTCTTCAAGGGGCCGTTGAGGCTTGATCTTGAATTGGGCTTGAGATTTCTTCAAGGGCTGTCGAGGCTTGATCTTGAATTGGGCTTGAGATTTCTTCAAAAGGTCGTTGAGGCTTGTTCTTGAACTTTTGTTTGGAATTTCTTCAAGGGCCGTCGAGGCTTGATCTTGAAGGTTGAAATTGGGCCACAAGGAG